ATTAGAGATGCACTGAAATAAAAACATAACACACACAAAGTTTGTTTTGGTTTTGGTTTTTTGAGACAGGGTCTTGTCTTGATGTCCAGGCTGGCCTTGAACTTGTGATCCTCCTTCTCGGCCTCCCAGGTGCTGGGATAACAGTTGTTTGCCACCACGCCCAGCACTTCACTCGACATTTGTGAAATGCAAAGAAAGCAGTTCTTACTGGGAAAGTTGGAGCCCTAAGCACAGCTATTAACTTCCATCTTCTGGCATGTCTATAAAAAGGTCAAAAAACCTTGTACATATTTTGCTTCCATCCTTTCAAGTACTAATCTTCCCTGCAAACAACAAGCATTTTGGTAGTGGGGCATGGTAATGTGTACCGCACTGAGCCCCGGACTTCAAGACCAGCCCTGGGAACACAGCAAGGCCCTGCCTCAAAAATGCATTTATCTGCTCTTTCACAGATGACCACCGCGGCTGAGAATGGTGTGTGCGGCCAGTGAGTGACCCCAGATGGAATTCTGGGGTCCGAGGCAGAACTGCCCTGCCTGGGCAATTAGCAAGGCTTTATCTCAAAATGAAAAGGGCCGAGGAGTAGGTCAGTAAGAAACCCCTGGGTTAAATCTCAGTACCACACACACACACACACACACACACGCACATAACCACATTCATAACTGATTAAATAAAATCAGTTGGGGTAGAGGTTACACACAGGGTGTGGTGGTGGATGCCTGGAATGTAAGCACTCAGGAAGCTGAGGCAGGAAGATCCCACAAGTTTGAGGCCCGCCTGGGCTACATAGTGCTTAAAACCAGCCTAAACTACATAATGAGACCCTGTCTCAAAATTAATAAATAAATAAATTAATTAATTAATAGTACACAACTTCCAACCTTACAGAAATAGAAAGGATTATGAGAAAATACTATGAGCAACTCTATGCAAACAAGTGAGATGATTTAGAGGTAATGAACAACTTCCTAGAAAGTATCACACTGACTTAAGAAACGGAAAAACCAAAGTTCCTACCACGAGACATTGTATCAATTTTAAAACTGCACTTACCCGAGATACTGTATCAATTAAGGCCCTGACCAAACTGAAGTTGTCTTCAAGGATGAATTCTTTCTTCAATTCTTCACACACTTCCGAAGGAGAACAGTGCAGACATCCCCCACGCAAGCCAAGAGGCTGGTCCAGGACTTTCCACACAACCAAAGCAGCCAAAGGCTCACACCCCCTGACCCTGTATTCCACAGGATCACTGATGTAAGGCGGGCATGGTGCAGGCCTGCAATCCCAGAACTCTGGAGGCCAAGGCCGGAGGATCGCCACGAGTTCAAGGCCAGCCTGCACTACACAGCAAGACCCTGCCTCAAAAAAAAAAAAAAAAAAGCATAAATTCTCCCCAAATTCTAGTAAACTGGGTTCGCAAGACAAAAAGAAATTATGCACTATGATCAAGTTAGACTTAGGAAGTGCAATTAACATTTGAAAACAAAGTCATATTAAAGGACAAAGCCACATGATCTTTTAAACAGATGTGGAAAAAACCTCAATACTATTTTTTTGCACTGTTGAAGAGCACACATAGAACCTGGGGCCTTATGCACGCAGGGCATGTGCTACATATCCAGCCCCAAAACCCTTTTGGGATAAAAAACACTCAACAAGGTAGTAACACAGGGCACTTCTTCAGTCTGTAAAACCACAGTTGGGCTGGGAATGTAGTTGGATGGTAGAGTACTTGTCTAGCATGTGCAAAGGCCCTGAGTTCATTTCCCAGTGCTGTAAAAACAAAACAAAACAAAGCAAAAATACAGCTAGCATTTCCTAGCCAGGTGAAAGACCCTGTCTTTCGGTGGGATCAGGACAGGACACAGATGCCCGCCATTGCCATTTCTGTTCCACACTGTGCTAAGGCTTTGGGCAGGGCCGTTAGACAAGAAAAACAGAAGGCACCAAGCTGAAAAGGAGGAAGTAAAACTAGTCATTCCCAGACGACAGGACTGTGAGCAGAAAAGCCTGCAGAATCCACAGGACATGTGCAAGGGCTGACGGCTGAGTGGGCAAAGCGGCAGGACCCAGGCTCACTGCAAAACGGACAACAAAGACTCACAAATGCCTGCACGGAGACCCATGTGGATCTGCATGAACTGCAGTTCTGCAGCATCCTGCTAATGTTATCGCGTTAGCTTTGCCCATTCCAGTAAAACGTTAGCATTAGATACGGGAATCCTGTACTATTTTTACAACTTTTCTGCCAATCTAAAATTGCTTCAGAATACAAATTTACTGATTTCAGAAGGCTAAACGACTCCCCTGGAAAGATGCTGCTGACCCGGCATGGAGCACTTTTGCTTCCTCTCCTAGTTCAGCTCGACCGGGGCGACCCAGGCAGTAGATAAAGGAAGGTGTCGCCTTATAAATGCATTACCAATAAAATAAGAATTTAAGAATCACATCATGACAGTGTTGCACCCCTGACAAATCGATGGATGTGGGCAGAGACTGAGGGATGCACGAGCCGAAGGTGTCTGGCTCCTGCCCTGTCTCCACCAGCCCTGCCCACTAGGGACCCCAAGGCCCTGGCTGACCCTCCAGCTCCGGGCTGTGGCTTCCACCCTGTCCCTGTTGGGGCCTCCATGCTGGAGGTGGATGTCGACAAACTGGAAGCCTGGAGCCCATACAGGGTGCTGGACAGCCGGAGGAGGGTCTGCTTGGCGCCTCCTCTGCTCCTTAGGCCTTGCGGACGGGCCACAGCCTGGAGACACGGGGCCACGGGGCCCTTCCACAGCGTGGGCCACGGCAGGACCTGTCCTGGGATCTCACGTTGCTCGGGGCCCACTGAGGCCACTGACGGGGTCCCTGAACAGCTGGACTCTCAGGGGGTCAAACAGGCTCTGCATATGTGGCTTCAAGCAGGGCTCCCAGGGTCACTTCTGAGAGGCAGCAGGTAGATGACAGGCTGGGCTGAGACTGCCCGGAAGCTTCATTAATGCACGCTGTGCACAACAGCTCCGTCCACAGCCCAGCGACCCGGAGGCCGAGGCGGGAGGGCCACTTGCACCCAGGTCACAGACCTGCCTGGGCAGCACAGGGACCCCAGCTGTGACTGCCCCCTGGGCAGCAGCTACAGCTGGGCAGCGGGAGGGGCACTGCACAGCGCATAGCCTCACGCAGAGCTTGACTCACTGCCCATGGACCAGAGACCTGCGGAGGTGGCCATGCCAGCGTCCCGCCCTGCACTGTCCCCACGCCAGCTCCCCGGTCCTGTCCTTCGTGTCCAAGCCTCACCCAGCACGCCTCACGACCTCACCTCCAGGAGCCCCGCCTGCCTCTCCGGCAGCTCAGGTCCTCCCTGGGCCCCCAGTCTCAGCGGGGCAGAGGACAGACACAGGGCACCCAGGGCGTCTGTGTGCGGCACCCCTCCGTTCCCCGCTGAGGCAGCGGCCAGGACGGGCAGGGCCTGGGCGGAGATGCCCTGGGCTGGACGCCTGCTGCTACCGAGGGAGGCTGAGTCAGGACGCCCGCCGCCAGACTCCGGCCCCGGGACTGGGGCCGACAGGAGGAGCACAGCCAGCAGGCAGGCGGCGACCTCCTGACTTTAAAGCTACGCTTTTAAGGAAACTGCAGCTTCGGGGCGAAGCCCTCCGAGGCCGCAGAGCCTTCTCCCTCCCAGGGACCCCGCTGCCCACCGAGCCCCCGCCCGCGCTCACCGGCCGAAGACCAGGCAGGCGCGGTGGTTGATGGCGCGGTCGGAGCGGTGGCGGCTGAGGTCCTCCCACAGGTCCTTGAGCGCCGTCACCGCCAGGATGAAGAGCACAGGCGCCAGCGCCAGGCCGGGCTGGAAGGCGCTCACGGGGGGCGCGAAGTTGAGCAGCGCGATGAGCACGAAGTACACGTTGGCCAGGCGGTGCAGCTGCTCGAACAGGTTCTTGGGCACGAAGGACAGCAGCGAGTACTTGGTGGTCCGCAGCCGGTTGTCGGCGGCGGGCGGGGCGCGGAGGCCGAGCGCGGGGGCCCCGGGGAGCAGCCCGGAGCGCACCGTGCGCGCCCCGCTGTCCCCGTGCCGCCGCCAGGGCCCGGCGCACTCCATGGCCGCCGAGCCGAGCCTAGGTGATCATCGCCGCCTGCCGGGCCGCCGGAGGGCGGATGGAGGGCGTCAGCGGGCAGCCCCGCCCCGCCCGGTCCGCCC